GTGGAGCCAAGATCATGCCACTGCACTGCAGCCCAGGCTACAAGAGCAAAACTCTGTCTCAAAAAATAAATAAATGAAATTTAAAATCAAATCACAGACACAAATGGAATATGCACCCACTCACAGGTTCTTCTCACAAAGGTGTGCTCCTGACAAAGACTGGGTAGAAAGCAGGAGGCTGGGAAGAGCCCCCCCTCAATGATGAAAGCTAGGAGGCTGGGAAGAGCCCCCCTCAATGATGAAAGCTAGGAGGAGGGGAAGAGCCAATGTGGCCAAAAAAAAAAAAAAAAAAAAGCATATCCCAGTGCTTTGGGAGCCCAAGGCAGAACTGCTTGAGGCCAGGAGTTTGAGACCAGATTGGACCCCATTTCTACAAAACAAAACAGCTGGGCACGGTGGCATGCACCTGTAGTCCTACCTACTTGGGAGGCTAAAACAAGAGGATGGCTTGAGCCAAATTTGAAGATGCAGTGAGCTAAGATTGCTCCACTACACTCCAGGTTGGCCAACAGAACGAGACCCTGTCTCAGGAAAAAAAAAGCATAAAGCCCAGCCTGGACTCTTTTCCTCTACCCCTATGGGAGAGGCACTATCACTGAGAAATCCCAGCTCCAAGACTCAGGACCAAAGGAGCTACCTGGGACTAAGACTAGACCAGGATAACTCAGAGTGCCCTCCTAATCTCTCCTCCCCTGAACTAACAAGCACCAAGAGGAAAGCAACAGGAAGGCTGCCGCGCTGGGGAAAGCAAGAATATAGAGATTCCCTCTGAGACAGAATACAGGGAAGGTTGAGAGCCGAAGGTAGAACAAGAGCTCTCTTAAGAAACCTCTGAAACAGCTTCCACCCTAAGCACAGGTTAACACTCGAGACTGGTGATGCAATGAAGGTAACCAAAGCAAAAACCAAACCCAAGCTGAGCTTACCTCCCAGCTCACTGACTTCATCCCCACACTACAGTACAGCAGAAGAAGCATCCCCGATTGTAAGCATCAATACAAACCTCAGTCTTTACTGTCTTCCCCGATGTCTAATATTCAATAGAAAATTATGAGAGGCATACACGTGAAAGAGGAAAACACATCACACTATCAAGGGACAAAGAAATCAACAGAAACAGATTGAGGGATGACCCTGATGTTAGAACTATCGGACAGGAAATTTAAAATGACTATGACTAATATTAAAGGCATCAGTGGAAAAAGCGGACAAAATGTATGAGCAGATAAGGAATTCCAGCAGAGTTGGAAACTCCAAAAGTCAGATGGAAATGCTAAAAATAAATACAGTAGCAGATATGCAGAATGATTTCAACAGGCTCATCATGAGATTTGACATAATCAAGGAAAGAATTAGTGGAAGACAGGCCAATAGATATTATCTAATACGAATCACCCAAACTGATACACAAAGAGAAAAAAGTAAAACACACAAAACAAAGAATCCAAAAGCTGTTGGACAGACCAGGTGTGGTGTCTCTTGCCTGTAATCCCAACGCTTTAAGGGGCTGAGGTGGGTGGATCACTTGAGGCTAGGAGTTCGAGACCAGCCTGGTCAACATGGTGAAACCCTGTCTCTACTAAAAATACAAAAACATTAGCCAGGCATGGTGGCACATGCCTGTGGTCCCAGCTGCTTGGGAGGCTGAGGTACAAGAATCGCTTGAACCCAAGAGACAGAGGCTACAGTAGGCCAAGATCATGCCACTGCACTCCAGCCTGGGTGACACAGCAAGACTGTCTCAAACAAACAAAATAAAACAAACAAAAACCGCCAACAAGAACTTTTGAACAATATTAAACCATTTAACTAAGTATAACTAGAATCCTAGAAGGAAAAGAAGGAGAAAACAAAGCAGAAGAAATCTGAAGGGATTAATGGCTGAGAATTTTTCAACAATAATAAAAGATATGAAAACAGAGATCTAAAACACTCAGAGAACCCAAACACATGATAAATATCAAATACCTAGACATATCACACTCAAACAGCTAGAAACCAAAGACAAAATATTGAAAAGACTCCAAAAGAGAAGATACATACAGAGGACCAAAAATACTGTAGACCTCTTGTCACAAACTATGGAAATCAGAAAACAGCACATAGTAACACAAAAGGAAATATGAAGCTGGTGATGCACTGAAGGTAATCACGGCAAAACCAAAGCCCAAACCCAGCAGAACTCCTGACTACCCGATCTCATCCACTAAGAGCTGGCAGTGGAAGTGTGTCCATTTAAAGGAAGAAAAAACATTGTGACCCTCGAATTCCATATCCAGTGAAAATATCATTCAAAATGGAAACTCTGGCCAGACACCATGGCTCACACCTGTAATCTCAGCACTTTGGGAGGCTGAGGCAGGTGGATCACTTGAGCTCAGGAGTTTGAGACCAGCCTAGGCAACATGGCAAAACCTCATTTCCACAAGAAAATACAAAAATTAGCTGGGTGCAGTGGCAGACACTTGTAATCCCAGCTACTCGGGAGGCTGAGACAGGACAATCACTTGAACCAGCGGGGTNAAAAAAAAAAAAGAAAAAGAAAAAGAAAAATTATCTAGGATACAATTCTAGACTCAAATCAGCCTAAGCTGTTTTCACATTATACTGCTTATCATGCCCAGTACCTGTGGCCCAGTAGTAAATATCCCAGTCATTACTAGGCTCATTAATCAGGCGGTCATAGAGGTTCAGCTCCTTCTCCGTCATGTGCTGCAGATGTTCTTTAGCAAAAAGACTAAAAACAAGAAAGAAAAAAAAAAGAAAAAGAGGTTGAAAGGGCTGTGTCTAATCAAAGAGAAGTGACACCAAGACTCATTCCTGGGAGTCTCTCTGAACCTACTCCGGCTCAGGAGGCTGTCTGAATTAAAAACAAACAAACAAACACACAAACAAAAAAATCCTAGTCCCATACCTAAGGAGAATGCAGTTTTCCAACATTCCCCTCTTTCTGCTCTCATAGAGCAGGCGGGCTCTTTTGGTTTCTATGGATTCATCAGTTCTCTCCTGCCACGGAGGCAAAGGGATTTCAATCATGTCCTTTTGGGAATCTGTTGGGCTGTCACCTCTGTAGAAGCGTTTGAATGATGTCCCCCTGAGCAAAGGAGACAACCGGCTGTGCCTTGACAGGACAAGCATCTGAAACGAACAAACCACAAACATCTTTATAGTAATGATGACTATCAATAGTATCATTTACTCAATGCATATTGGGTGCTGAATGCATTCAATCACATTTAGTCATTAGGAAATTATGCTGCTGGCCAGGCATGGTGGCTCACACCTGTAATCCCAGCACTTTAGGAGGCTGAGGCAGGAGGATTGCTTGAGTTCAGGAGTTTGAGACCAGCCTGACCAACATGAAGAAACCCCGTCTTTACTAAAATACCAAATTAGCTGGGCATGGTGGCACAGGCCTGTAGTCCCAGCTACTCTGGAGGCTGAGGTGGAAGGATTGCTTGAGTCCAGGAGGTGGAGCCTGCATTGAGCCATGATTGCACCACTGCGCTCCAGCCTGGGTGACAGAGTGAGATCCTGTCTCAAAATAAAAAGGGAGGCGGGGGTGGGGGCGGAATTTGAAGACACATCACCAAATAGACATAAAGGGCTGATAAGCCCTTGAAAGACCCTCAATATTATTAGTCATTAGGGACATGCCAATTAAAACTATAGTGATGTACCAATATATACGTGGAATGGCTAGAAACAAAAAACCCTGACAATACAAAGTGCTGTTAAAGATGTGGAACACCAACCCCTCCCTTCACGTTCGGCTTCCTGGCAATCACTGATTTGTCCCTGTAAGTTTTGTCCTGTGAGCTAAGAATGATTTTTAGAGATGGGGTCTCACTCTTGCCCAGGCTGGAAGGCAGTGGCGTGATCATAGCTCACTGCAGTCTCTGAACTCCTGGGCTCAAGTGATCCTCCACGTCGCTGGGAATACAGCGTGCACCACCAAACCCAGCTAATTTATTTTTATTTTTGGAGACAGGGGGTCTACGTTGTCCAGGCTGGTCCCAAACTCTTGGCCTCAAGAGATCCTCCGCTTAGCCTCCCAAAGTGCTGGAATTACAGGTGTGAGCCACTTCATCTAGTCAAGAATGATTTTTTTTTAATGGTTGGGGGGAAAAATAATCAAAAGTATATTTCGTGACTGGTGAAAACAATATGAAATTCAAATTCCAGTGTCCACAAATAAGGTTTTATTAGAACACAATCACACTCATTTGTCTATCTGTTGTCTGTGGCTGCTTTCACGCTACAAAGGCAGAGATGAGTGGTTATAAGAGAGACTGTATGGCTGACAAAGCCTAAAATATTCACTATCTGTACTTACTATCTATATTTCCATTATAGAAAAAAACCTCCTATAGTTACCTATTACAGGAAAACCTTATTAAAAGTTCTATTTTTTAAATTTTATTATTATTATTATTTTGAGATGGAGTCTCGTTCTGCTGCCTAGGCTGGAGTGTGGTGGCGCAATCTCGGCTCACTGCAACCTCCGCCTCCCAGGTTCAAGCGATTCTCCTGCCTCAGCCTCCCGAGTAGCTGGGACTACAGGCGCCCGCCACCACGCCCAGCTAATTTTTTGTATTCTTAGTAGAGACAGGGTTTCACCATGTTAGCCAGGATGGTCTTGATCTCCTGACCTTGTGGTCCACCCGCCTCGGCCTCCCAAAGTGCTGGGATTACAGGCGTGAGCCACCACACCTGGCCATCATATTTATTTGTTTTTTTGAGAAAGTCTCACTCTGTCGCCCAGGCTGGAGTGCAGCGGCGTGATCTTGGCTCATCGCAACCTCCACCTCCCGGATTCAAGCAATTCTCTTACCTCAGCTCCAAAGTAGCTGGGCACACCACCATACCCAGCTAATTTTTGTATTTTTAGTAGAGACGAGGTTTTGCCATGCTGACCAGGCTGGTCTTGAACTCCTGGCCGCAAGTGATCCACCTGCCTCAGCCTCCCAAAGTGCTGAGATTATAGGCATGAGCCACCACGCTCAGCATTATCATAAAGTTAAACATATACACTTACCACATGACCTAGCAAATCCTTCTCCTGAGGATTCACTGAAGAAAATTAAAACCTATGTTCACAAATTCTGCATGCAAATGTTTACAGGGGCTTCACTCATAATCACCTAAAGCTGGAAACAGTCGTAATGTCCCTCAATTGGTCAACAGATGAACAGACTGTGGTATACCCACACGATGGAATATTACTCAACACCACAAAAGAATCAACTATTGATACAAGCAACAACAGGGATATGAATCTCAAATGCATTATACTAAGTTGGGGCAAACTTGTTTTGTAAAGGGTTGGAAAGTAAATATTTGGACTTTGTCAGATTTCCAGTGATTGTATAAGCCTCCTGACGCTGTCTTCTCTCTTCATACCTGGAATCCACAGACAATGGCTGCTCCTTTCTGATATAAATACTAAGTGGAGACATAAAAAGAGGAGACCCAGAATGCGGCAGAAATGAATGACATATCCCTTAATATCCAATTTTTGCTATAACAGAATCTCCAAGATAGCTGGGCAGATGGAATGGACTATATTATTTTTCCTTATGGCTAGATGTAGCCATGTAACTAAGCTGTGGCCAGTAGAAAACTGGAAGAATGATACATAGTTTCCTGAGAGGGATCTACAAAGAAGGAGTATGTGCTTCCACACACTATTTTCCTGGCTGCAATATGATCAGGACAGCCCCAGCAGCTATCCTGGATCATGGAGTGGATAACACATGCTAGGATAAAAGAGCAGCAAGTCAGGAGGAACCTGGCCCCATGACTTTTTGAAGCCTCTCTAGGAGCTCTGGAGTATGCCTTCCTCTGGACTTCTGTCATGAGAGAGACAGTTCTACCTCATTTAAGCCATTATTTTGGATTTTTACTCATAGCCAAAGTTAATCCTAACTATACATAGTTAGAAATCATTCTTCATAAAGGCAGTGCCCCAGTGAATTTTTTTTTTTGAAATGTAGTCTTACTCTGTTGCCCAGGCTGGAGTGCAGTGGTGCGATCTCAGCTTATTGTAATCTCTCTCCCAGTCTCAAGCAATTCTCCTGCCTTATCCTCCTGAGTAGCTGGGACTGCAGGTGCCTGACACCATGCCTGGCTAGTTTTTCTTTTTGTAGAGATGGGGTTTCACTGTGTTGGCCAGGCTGGTCTCAAGCTTCTAACCTCAAGTGATCCATCCACCTCAGCATCCCATGGTGCTCAGATTATAGGCATGAGCCGAGAGCCACCACACTTGGCCAGAATGAAACTACTGAGGAGCTCTGGCTATGCAGACTTAGTTGTGTGGTTCCACTCCATTCCCAGCCTGGTTCTTCTTCAACCTTTGATACTGTGAGCTTCATATACCCTTCCACTAAATTCCTTTTTGCTTAAGTTAGACAAGTTTCTACTCTGTCTTGCAGATAAAGAACCTTAACTGATAAAACAAATTTTGTACACTTAACAAAAATGTGAACAGTGTTTGGGTTGAGTGTTTACTTCATGCATACAAGAAAAAAATTACAAGCTGGAGGCAATGGCTGACGCCTGTAATCCCAACACTTTGGGAGGCTGAGGTGGGTGGATCACCTGAGGTCAGGAGTTCAAGACCAGCCTTACCAAGATGGAGAAACCCTGTCTCTACTAAAAACACAAAATTAGCCAGGTGTGGTGGCACATGCCTGTAATCCCAGCTACTCGGGAGGCTGGGGCAGGAGAATCGCTTGAAGTCAGGGGGCAGAGATTGCGGTGAGCCAAGATCGTGCCATTGCACTCCAGCCTGACCAACAAGAGCGAAACTCTATCTCAAAAAAAAAAAAAGAAAAAGAAAAAGAAAAATTATCTAGGATACAATTCTAGACTCAAATCAGCCTAAGCTGTTTTCACATTATACTGCTTATCATGCCCAGTACCTGTGGCCCAGTAGTAAATATCCCAGTCATTACTAGGCTCATTAATCAGGCGGTCATAGAGGTTCAGCTCCTTCTCCGTCATGTGCTGCAGATGTTCTTTAGCAAAAAGACTAAAAACAAGAAAGAAAAAAAAAAGAAAAAGAGGTTGAAAGGGCTGTGTCTAATCAAAGAGAAGTGACACCAAGACTCATTCCTGGGAGTCTCTCTGAACCTACTCCGGCTCAGGAGGCTGTCTGAATTAAAAACAAACAAACAAACACACAAACAAAAAAATCCTAGTCCCATACCTAAGGAGAATGCAGTTTTCCAACATTCCCCTCTTTCTGCTCTCATAGAGCAGGCGGGCTCTTTTGGTTTCTATGGATTCATCAGTTCTCTCCTGCCACGGAGGCAAAGGGATTTCAATCATGTCCTTTTGGGAATCTGTTGGGCTGTCACCTCTGTAGAAGCGTTTGAATGATGTCCCCCTGAGCAAAGGAGACAACCGGCTGTGCCTTGACAGGACAAGCATCTGAAACGAACAAACCACAAACATCTTTATAGTAATGATGACTATCAATAGTATCATTTACTCAATGCATATTGGGTGCTGAATGCATTCAATCACATTTAGTCATTAGGAAATTATGCTGCTGGCCAGGCATGGTGGCTCACACCTGTAATCCCAGCACTTTAGGAGGCTGAGGCAGGAGGATTGCTTGAGTTCAGGAGTTTGAGACCAGCCTGGGCAATGTAGCGAGACCCTATCTCTACAAAAAATACAAAAATTAGCCAGGCATTGTGGAGTAGTCCCACCATGGTGCCTGTAGTCCCAGCTACTCAGGAAGCTGAAGTGGGAAGATCACCTGAGCCCAGGAAGGTCGAAGTTGCAGTGAGCTGCGATCGTACCACTGCATTCCAGCTGGGCAACAGAGTGAGACCTGTCCCGCCCCAAAAAAGAAAAGAAGTTATGCTGATATTGTCCCCACTTTACAGCCAAGGAAACAGAGGTTCAGGGAGGTTCACTAACTCACCCCAAATCGCCCAAACAGTAACAGCAATCAGAATTAAAACACAGTCCTGACTGCAAATGTGTCCTTAACCAGTGCCTTTCCAGAAAATATCCCAGCAGAAATAATTTTTCCTTCCTTTGCACCCTCTTACAATTCTTACAGTATGGTTTATACTCTAGTCACTCACCCGTGTCAAATCCTGAGCACACAGAGACAGCATGACCCCTAATCCCTCAAAGGCTCCCAATCCAGAGAAGGGGATAAACTATCAAGACATGATGTGAAGGTGGTGACCTCCGCAAGAGGTAAAGATGATGGACTAGGAAGCCCCAGATCCTCCTCCCTGGGGAGACACTGAACCAACAGCAACAAACCAATTCCCTGTGAGAAATCCAGAAACCAAGAAGAGGCTCCTGTACCCCAGATGAGGACAAAACCAGCTGCATCGAACCCAGCAGAAAAATTTGTAACACTCATTTGCCATAGTCTCTTCCCTCCCTGCCCAATCATGATCATGAGATAATCCCCAGCTCCTAGGTTCTACCTGAGACAGAAAGAGAAGACTGAAAAGTATGTATAATGTTTGGACTTTTGGGGGGATCAGGTTTTTGTTTTGTTTGAATTTAAGTACTGACAGAAAAGGGTAGCAGGTTGAGGACCACAGGTAACAAAGGTGACAGTTTAGACTGGCAAGCAGGCACTCACTCATCACTCATCCTTGGCTCAGTGCAGAACAACCAGGGGCAAACTCCCACCTCCCAGCTTCTCCCTAGGGAGGGAAAGAGGTGCAATGTGCATCCAACATTCTAACTTTTCAGGGGCTCTGTGGGGGACTGGTTTCTGTCTCTAAGCACTTGACAGGATACAGCATACTCTGGATGCCTGGGGGACATTTAGAACAAAACAGCTGGGTGGCTTGCTGCTGATCCAGAGGATCCCTGAAACAGTAGAGAAAGGTCAATACAGTCCAGTGGCCTCTCCCAGCGTTGGTGGGGGTGTGGAGTGTGCATTTAACATTCTGTCTTTTGGGGGAGCTACCTGAAGGACTGCCTTCTATCTTGCCTAACTTGGGATACTCATGGGACATGGCATACTCTAGTAAAAGTCTAGGGGCCACTGAATAAGGTAGCTGGGAGACTTGCAGCAGCTCCAGAAAAACTGCAGTGTCACAGGCAGACACTAGAGGGAGGAAGAGATTATGAGCTCCTGAAAAAGGAAACCAGCAAATCCCTCTAATTGGGAATACACACCCACAAATCCAGAAAAGACATAGCCTCAGGAAAGGATTGAGAGGCCCTCAGAATCTCTATCCATGCTGACTGATGAAGGCCAATCACAAAGTACAAAGATAGACCATAAAAACTGGGAGAGACAGATGATTTTTCAAATGCAGAAATCACCGGTACAAGTTACCAAGTACATGAATAAGCAGGGAAACATGGTCCAATTAAAGGAACGAAATAAATCTCCAGAAACTAACCTTAAAGAAACAGAAGTATATAAATCACCTGATAAAGAATTCAAACCAGCCGTAATAAAGATGTTCAATGAGCTCGGGAAAGTGATGCTTGAACAAAATAATTTTGGAGCTGAAGAATACAGTAAATGAATTGAAAAATTCACTAGAGAAAGCCAGGCATGGTGGCTCACATAGGTAATCCCTGCACTCTGAAAGGCTGAGGCTGGAAGATCACTTGAGCTCAGGAGTTGGAGAACCAGCCTGGGCAACATAGTGAGGCCCCATCTCCAAAAAATAAAAATAATATAAGCTTTGCGCAGTGGCAGTATCGTAGTCAATGAGGTTTATCCGAGGCGCGATTATTGCTAATTGAAAACTTTTCCCAATATCCTGCCATGACGACTTGAAATATAGTCAGCATTGGCAATTTTTGACAGTCTCTATGGAAACCGAATTAAAAATAAATAAATAAATAAAAATTAAAATACATAAATTCACTAGAGGAGATCAATAGTAGGCCTTACCGAGCAGCAGAAAGAGTCAGCAAACTCAAAGACAGGTCATATGAAATTAGTCAAGATTTAAAAAAAAGAAAAATGGAAAAGAATGAAGAAAGTCTTAGGGACTTATGGGATTTCATCAAGATCAATATAGGTATTATGAGAGCCCCACAGGAGAAAGACAGGGGGAGAAAGCTTATTAGAAGATATAATTGGCCAGGCTCAGTGGCTAATGCCTATAATCCCAGCACTTTGGGAGGCTGAGGTGGGTGGATCACCTGAAGTCAGGAGCTCAAGACCAGCCTGGCCACCATGGAAAAACACTGTCTCTACTAAAAATACAAAAAGTAGCCAGGTGTGGTGGCACACGCCCATAATCCCAGCTACTGGGGAGGCTGAGGCGGGAGAATTGCTTGAACCCAGGAGGCAGAGGTTGCAGTGAGCTGAGATTGTGCCACTGCACTCCTGCCTTGCCAACAGAGTGAGATTCTGTCTCAAAAAAAAAGACATAATGGCTGAAAACCCCCAAAGTTGGAGAAAGAAGTGGACATCCAGATTCAAGCCCAACAGATCTCAATTAGCATGAACCCAAAGAAGTCTACATTCAGACATATTTTAATCAAACTGTCAAAAGTCAGAAAAAACTGGGCCTGTAGTCCCTGGCATGTGCCTGTAGTCCCAGCTACTTGGGAGGTCGAAGTGGGAGGACTGCTTGAACCCAAGAGTTAAAGTACAGCCTGAGCAACAATGCAAGATCCTATCTCTTTAAAAAGTCAGAAAAGAGACACCAGGGATGTGCATGCACAGAGAAATGTGAGGGCACAGTGAAAAGATGGACATCTGTAAGCCAAGGAGTGAGGCCTTGAAAGAAACCAAACCTGCCAACACCTTGCTCTTGAACTTGGCTAGTCTCCAGGACTATGAGAAAACTAATTTCTGTTGCTGAAACCACAGTTTATAGCAGCCCTAGTAAACTAATACGGCATGCAACGAAAATTCAGACTCCTAAGCCCCACCATAAACATTCTGGATCAGAATCTCTAGGATTGGGCCCTGGCAAATGCATTTTTAACAACCCTCTAAGAGATTCTGATGCAGATTGAAAGCAGGGATTCCTACTTTCTGTAATAACATAACATGGTTGACTAATTTCTACAGAAATGAATGCAGATGGGGAGGACTATCATCATCAGTACAAGGAAATTGTTCTAATAATTGGGATCTCTTAACATTTTAGCCAAATTTCACCCATTTTTTCTGTTAGTATCAAGGCAGCATTCCATAAAAGAAACAATAATGGGTGTCACCTAGCTTCAGGGAATTGTGACACTGGTATAAGCTGTGTTAAAGAAATCATCACTGGAAATTTGTATTAGAATGTACTTGTGTTTGCAGCCATGAATAGCTCTATAATTATTTAAAAAAAAAAAAAAAAAAAAATAGCCGGTGAGGCCTGTAATCCCAGCACTTAGGGAGACCAAAGCAGGCAGATCACCTGAGGCCAGGAGTTCAGGACCAGCCCGGCCAACAAAGTGAAACCCTGTCTCTACTAAAAATACTAAGATTAGCCAGGCATGGTGTCCTGTAGTCCTAGCTACTCAGGAGGCTGAGGCGAGACTCACTTGAATCTGATAGACAGAGGTTGCAATGAGCTGAGATTGGGCCACTCCACTCCAGTCTGGGCAGCAGACTGAGACTCCATCTCAAACAAACAAACAAAAAATGCAGCCTAGATAGAGCAACAACAACAAACAACAAAACCCCCAAAACTCTAAGAATAAAGGTTTCCAAGACACTAAAAAAATTCATACAAAATAATTTTATGCTTCTCTGGCTCATGTTTATATCCTCTTTCCAAAAACAAACTTGTCAGAAGTCAAAGACAAAATTTTGGAAGCAGCAAAAGAAAAAGCAACTCATCACATATGAGGCAGCCTCCAAAGATTATCAGATTTCTTAACAGAAACTTTGCTAAGAGTGGGATAACATAATTCAAGATGCAGAAAGAAAAAAAAAATGCCAATCAAATATACTGTATCTGGCAGAGCTGTCCTTCAAAAATGTAGGAAAAATAAAGATTTTACCAGATAAAAGGTAGGGAGTTCATCACCGTTAGACCTGCCTCATAAGAAATGCTAAAAAGAGTCCTTCAAGTAGAAAAGATGCTAGACAGCAGAAGAAAATCATATGAAAATATAAAGCTCATGGGTCTGGTGCAATGGCTCACGCTTGTTAATCCTAGCACTTTGAGAGGCTGAGGCAGGCGGATCACAAGGTCAGGTGTTCAAGACCACCCTGGCCAAGAGGGTGAAACCCCATCTCTACTACAAATACAAAAATTAGCCAGGTGTGGTGGTACACAACTGTTATCCCAGCTATTCGGAAGGCTGAGACAGGAGAATTGCTTGAACCCAGGAGACAGGCTGCAGTGAGCCAAGATCACACCACTGCACTCCAGCCTGGGCAACAGAGCAAGACTCCGTCTCAAAAAATCAAAAACAAACAAATAATACAACAATTAAAAAACAAGGTATAGTACAACAAGTGTTTACATAGCCTTGACATTGTATTAGGTATTATAAGTAATCTAAAAATGATTTAAAGTATATGGAAGGATGTGTGTAGGTTATAAGCGAATATTATGCCATTTTAATGTAAGAGGTTGAGCATCTACAGATTTTGATATCCACAGCAGGTCCCACAACAGTCATCCCATGGATACAAAGGGATGATTGTACTTCCCTATTTTATTTTTTGAGACCAGGTCTCACTCCTGATGCCCAGGCTGGAGTGCAGTGGCAAAATCAGGCACACTGCAGCCTTAACTTCCCAGGCTCAGATGATCTTCCCACCTCACCCTCCCAAGTATCTGGGACTACAGGCGTGCACTACCACAACTGGCTAATTTTTTTTAGTAGAGAAGGGGTTTTGCCATGTTGCCCAGGCTGGTCTCAAGCTCCAGGACTCACATGATCCGCCCACCTCAGCCACTATTTACTTTAAGTATAAATGGATTAAACTCCCCAATCAAAAGACATGAAGAGGCTGACGGAAATTTTTTTATAAAAGATTCAACTATATGCTGTACAAGAGACATATTTTAGTAAAACCTGAAAATCAACAGAAGAAAAGCTGGAAAATCCACAAATATGTGGAAATTAAACAACACACTCTTGAACAATCAATGAGTCAAAAAAGACATCAAAAGGAAAATTAGAAAATATCTTGAGACACGCCAGGAATGGTGGCTCATGTCAGTAATCCCAGCACCTTTTGGGAAGCTGAAGCGGGAGGATCACTTCAGGCCAGGAATTCGAGAACAGCCTGGGCAACATAGTGAGACCCTGTCTCTACCAAA